ATAAATAAAACATCACAGATTTTATTGTGTAATATATTTTATAAGGTAAAAAGTTATATCTAATCAGTAATGACAGCCTTCGATCCTAATGGATTCATAATTATTCTACATCTAAGAAGGAAAATGTTACATATGCTCAAAAAGTCAAGATTTATATATAAATATTTCAACCAAGAACTGTTTTTTTCAGATATATATATTTGAACAAATGGGCAGCTTTCAACGGACGACACTCTGAAATAAGCAGTGCTTTTGTTTGCATTTCCAGATTAATATGCATTCTGATAAAAGCATGAAATGTTATCACTAAGCTGTGCGGCTCTCTAGACCTACCACAAATATACTATCTGGAAAGAACTGGGTACTGAACGCAAACAGTCTGCTCCCTTCCATCTACTTATCACTCTGCTGTTTCAATATTTTTTTTCTTTGACTTTGCCCCTGTATCTTAGCAAGTGACACATTCCCCACTAGAAACCACATTCATGACAATTTTTAATACTTAAAATCAGAACTTGTGTCCATTCTGCACAGAAACAGTACCTGGAAAGCATACATTCATGCAAAATCCTTTTTTTTCCCTGCTTTTTCCAATACACACATTCTTTTTTTGTATCACGGCGATTTTAAAATTGTTCTATGCAATTTAAATAAGATTTCCAAAAACAGTAACCTTTTACAGGGATAAATCGGAGCCTTTCCAGTTGACAAAGTAATTTGGGAGGGACATGCAAAGCACCTGAAAAAACACACTGCGTAGAAAACCATTTTAACTATAGCAACAGCACTCACTGCATAATGTTATAAGGAAAATTATGCAATTAGGTCTCTTATCAGACTTATGAAAATTTAGATTTATGCCATTTGGGGGAATAAAAAAAGAAAAATCATTGTTCACCATATCTCCCTTGAACACTACCTAGGGGAGGGGAGTGATGACCAGACAGCAAAAATTAAGAAGAACGTGTCCCACCTTACGCCTATTCTGCCAATCTGTCGTGGTTGTTCTTCTAGCTCCATAGGTTTACGTGGGGGTTTTTTCCTAATTTTTTTCTTTTTCCTTTTTTTTTTTTCCTGACAAGTAATACAAGACAGATTCTTGCCTTCTTAGGATCTTGCAATCTAGTTTAGACATAGCACGTCAAGTGGTGATGAAAGAAGGTTAGGGTGGGTTTGAAAAGATGAGGATTCCAACAGTAAACGATGCAGAGACATCAGTTTGGTAATGTACACATGTTTTGCATGATTCATTGGACCAAAATGGCCAAAGGAACTTAAAAAGCTGTCAAAGGCATCTTTACCTCTGACCTACCTAGTCATCCATCTGCTTCCTCATACTGTCAATCAAAACCCTCCCATCCTTATCACTATTCTATTACACACATTTTCCACAACCATTTCTCCTCCAGCTCTTAAAAAATATCTTAGCAAACATTTCAATCAGTCATTAAAAACCTTGTTAAAATATGCAATGTGTCATCAAATATGCATAGCGTACTCGTGCAAAATCTGCAGAGCGTAAATCACTGTATTACATTTGTTATAGTATTAATGTGAAACATCGTAGAAAGTATTACCAATAAGAACTTTAAAATACTTTCTACAGATCAGAGCTGAATTTTGTGTTGTATTAAATAAAGCAAAGAAAGGGCAATTGAATAATTATTTTACACAATAATTGTATTTAAAGCCTGTTCAGCATGCCTAGAATAATAATACTAATTACACTTCACATAAAGTTCATGCAATTAGTTGCTGTTCTAACAAATTCATACATGGGGGTTTGCTTCAACTAAACCGAGCGCACTGCAATTTATACACACCGAGTCAAAACCCCTGTGTTCGGTCCTTGGTGAATGCAAACACTAACGTGTCAATAAACATATGTTTAGCAGATATACAGGTGCACCTCTAAAAATAATAATCTAAATAATTATAATAGCAATAAAATTACCTACCGACAGGAAATAGTCTTTTTAACTTCTGCAGCCCTTATCTCTTCCACTCTCTTGCAGAAAGAGTTATGGAATTATCCTGTCGAAAAAGTTACGGAATAACATCAACCACTCACGCACGGGAAAGAATTTTGTTCGGACCTGTCACACGTTACGTATTTGTTCCAGACCCGCTGGATAAGCCCCGCTAAACAAGACCTGGCGGACCCCTCCCCGAGGAGCGGTGTGCCCGGGGTGACTCCCCGGCGGGCAGCAGCCGCAGCGGGGAGGCGGGCGGGGAACGCCGCGGTGCCTCGGGCCGCTCCTCTTGTCCGCTCGGGGGGCAGTGCATCGGAACCGGCAGCGGCGGGGGGGAAGGGGGGCCGCTTTTGCCGGCCGAGAGCGAGAAAGGAGAGCCAGGAACATGCCATGATATATTTAGGGTGCGGGAAGCCCCGGGACAGCCGCACTGAGGGGCAACCCGAGCCCGCGGGAGGCAGAGAGGTGCGGGCGGTGTGCGTGGGAACTCGTGCGGCGCCCCGGCCTCTGCTGCTCGGGGAAGGCGGCCGGGGAAGGGCACGCACCGCCCGCGCTGCTCCCAGGGGCGCTCCCGAGGAGGCACTGCCCCCACGACCCATCTCAGCGAGGGGCGTCCCGGGGCAGCACCGTGAGCCCGACGGCACTGCGGGGCAGGCGCCGCCGCCCCAGGTTGGTGGCCGCGGGGCCTCAAGCGGGCGATGTGGGCGGTGGAGGCGGTGGAGGCGCTGGGGGCGCAGGGACTCCGCACCTCGGGGGGCGGGGGAGGGGAAATGCAATTCGGCTGCTCAGGTGCCCCCCGTCAATACTGCGACAGAACAAAATGCCCCTGACAACTCTGCACCTGCGCTTACCCACCGCGGAGTCAAGAGTAAACCTGGCCTGTTATCTCCACCCCCCGAGGACTCGGCCCTCGCGGGTACCGGGCTGACGCCTCTCCTAAAGCCCACAGGTGGGTGACTCTCAAGGGAGCAGCGTCCCGGGGCGGCTAGCACGTGGTGCTGCAGGAGTGGGGGCTCAGCTCCCGCTCAGCGGGGCAGGCTGCTCCCCCGAAAGGGCGCCCGCCTTGGGGGCACCGCGGGGCTCCGCCAGCGCAGCTCTCGCCCCAGGGAGGTGAGGGCAGGCTGCGGGCGGGCAGCGCTGCGTCCCTCGCCTCTGCTCAGCCAGCAAAGGCACCCCACGCCCCGCACCAGGCACCTCTCCCGCCTGCAAAGTGCTGTAAGGGTTTTTAAACGTCAAACACGGGGATAGTTACAAACGTCTCAAACCTGAGGGGGTTTCATCTCCCTCTTTCTACGACTGCAAACCTCCACACTTGGCCACGTCGTGTAAGCACTCTCCGCTACGCTCTTCCCCCCCACCAAAAAAAAGGACAAACGCGGGGCAAGCCGACCACCTCGGTCAGGGAGGGCAGCGGCGGGACTCCCGCCCCAGAGCCTCGTGGAGAGCTCCGCCAGCCTCTTCTCCTTAGCCGCACCCGATCTCCTGTTTGCAAAACGGCGAAGTGCTTTTTCCAACACGACGTTAATGTTTTGCCAGGTTTATTTTACTTGTTATACACAGACGATACAAACGGGCAAAAACCGAAACATTTCTCAATGGAGCATGTACTGGTATAAATTATTCAGTTCCACAGACGTAACAGAACAAATATAAAAATCACAACATTCGATTTACAGAAGAGTCAAAAATATACACACGTTTATGACCCTGAATTTCTATTAGGAAATTTCCCCATCGAGTGTAATCTAGACTGAATATTTAGCCTGATGCATATTTCAGTTTGTAATTGGTGTTTTTTCCATATAAAAATGTGTTAATTGTATAGATTTGCTACTCAAAATTCGAAGACTTATTCTGCTTCACCGGGGGGGAGTCCTGGAGGGATATTATTTCTCCTTCAATAATGTAATAAGAGGCTTACAGGAAAGATCACTCTTACTTTCGATGTGCATTTGATTCCCCAGGAAGTCAGATCTCGGTCAGCTACTTTATGAAAAAGTCAATTCCAAAACTAAATGCAGTAAAATATACAACTCACAACTCATCTTCACTGGACTACACTATGGTTACCAACAATTCAGTCGTCTATATCTTTTTTCTTCTTTTTTCTTTTTTTTCCTTTTTTTCTTTTTTTTTCTTTTTTTCCTTTTTTTTTTTTTTAAGATTATTCATTACAAAGATTTACAGCAATATAAAGAAAGAGGGGGAAACTGCAAAGAAATTTGAAAATAGTTTATCAGCATATTTGGCACCTGCGGGGACCAGTAATGGATTTGGCACTTGGGGGCGGGGGGGGGATACCACAGAAAATAATATTGCTGATCTCGAGCTATTCCTTTTAAAGAAAAATAAGAGGCAGTTAATTTTGCTTTTGGAAGGCGTCATGCTACTTTAATCGACTTTCCTACGAGATGTATTTCTGTTCTTTTGAAGGGAAAACTGAGCTATTCCTTAACTGTGTTAGCCCAGGGCACCGCGTAATTATTTCATGCGAGGAATTGGAGAGAAAGTGAGAAACCCATTACTCGCTGCTACAGCTATGGACCACTTATATTTCCAGAGGCATTTAGGAAGAGTGTGTACCTGGGGAGGGGCACGAGGAAGAGGGAGCAAAGTGCGGGCAAGGGGGTAAAGAAATTTAAACAGGATTTAAGTTTTGTGACTTAACAATGAAAACAAAACAAAAAAATCCAAACAAATAATAAATAAACAGAACCAAAGAAAAGTAGTCTGTTACAATAAATTAAATACTATGTACAGGCATTTCACAGGCTCTTTTCCCCACTATTACTGTTTCCCCTAGAATCCATCCGTGGTAAAAGGAAGGAAGCGCTGTACGGTTTGAGAGTCTAAGCATCCTACTGATCAGTGGGTTTCGGATCGGCAGTGCCCCCCACGCCCCCGGGGCGCCGCCGGGCCGGGCCGGGCCGGGCGGGGAGCGGGGCGAGGGGGGCGGCGGCGGCCGCGGCTCAGCCAGCCTGCCTGCCTCCCTGCCGGGCCGGGCCGGGCCGGGGCACGGATGGGGCATCAGGGGCGGGGGTCAGTGCGCTAACGCGGAGGAGTTATTGTGCAAAAGGACGGCGGGCCGGCGGCCGCGCCTAGCTGTGCGAGTAGAAGCCGTAGTAGCCGATGTCCTTGGCGCAGGTCTTTTCGCAGTCCCGCTGGGTAAGCACCTCGCTCTTGAGGGGCGAGGAGCTCTCGGACACCGGGGTGTCCGAGGGGGAGATCCGCCTCCTTTTGGCCTGCTCGTAAATCCCAGAATCAGAGGAGTCGATGGATTTAATGGACGACGGCGTCTCGATCCAGCTGGAGTCGGACAAATCTTTGGGCTTGGAGTCCTCGGCGCCCGGCAAAGGGGACCGCTCGGGGGCCAGGCTCTCCGCCTCCTCCCCCAGGTAGGGATTGCCGGCGGCCATGCGCGCCGCCGCCGCGCTGTTGGGCCAGCAGGAGAGCACGGAGCCCGACTTGCTGCAGTACTGCGGGGGGCTGCGGGCCCCCCAGCCCGAGGGGTCGGCATAGTAGCCCAGCGGCCGCCCGGCGCAGCCGGCCGCCTGCAGCGGCAGCGCCTTGACTCCTGCGGCCGCGTAGGACAGCAGCGTGGCCGCGTTGCCAGCGAAGTCGGTGGCCGTGTCGTAGGCGGAGGCGGCGAAGTCGAGGCGGTTGTTGGCGGGGGCGACGAACCAACGCTGCGGCGAGGGGGCCCCCGGGTCCTCGGCTTGCTGTGGGGAGAGCAGCCCGTTGGTGTGGGGCACGCTGCGGTCGGCGCCGGGCCCCGGGCCGGCTCCTGCCCCGGGGTGGAAGCGGGACTTGGCGTAGTTACTCACGAACTGGTCCTGGAGGAAGGAGCCGGCCATGGCGTAGCGGGCCCCGGGCACGATCTGCGAGCGGGGCGAGTCGTTGGGGGAAGGCGTCAGCCGGTCCATGTCGCAGCCCGTGTAGATCCTGCCCAAGAGAAGGGGAGAGAGCTGGGTGTCCGCCGCAGCCCGGCGCCCTCCTCGGCGCGGCACCCGGCCGGCCGCAGCCCTCGGGGGACGGACGGGAAGGGACGGCGCCGTCCCAGCGCGCTCCTGCCCGACCCGGGAGCTTGCGCTGCTCTCCGGGCTTTGCCTCTGGCACCAGTAGCGCCAATGGCCTTTAACGGGGAAGAGGAAAGAAAGACGGGGGGAAGCACGAAGAGCAAATCGTTCGTAACCTGTTGGCCATTTCTTGACGGGGCCGAGATCCCTCTCTCGGGCCCGAACCCGCATCCCAACGGCGTGAAATTCCGCGCGGTGACACATTGACCGGTCCCGCCACATGCGCAACAGGCAGCCCGGTCATTTGCCGCGAACAGCATGAGTGGCAGACTACGGAATTCTATCGGCTGTTTAACACTTATTATTGGGAGTCGCAGACGAACCATCAACATTTTACCCAGTTTAAATTAAGCTAATCTTTAAACACCTACTGTAGGAAATGTAAAGCCAGACACTTCCAGTGTTCCCTGCATGGCCTATATATAATTCTCCCATGCTGGGCTGCAATTTGCGATTATAAAAACTTTAATGGATGAATAACTACTATCTGTATTTACTTCAGGCTAAAACTGTGCTTTAATTAACCCTCCACGCCTCCTGGAATTTCTTATCCAAAATAAACTTGGCCCTTAAACAAATTCAACGTGCTAGACAACATTGAAGCTTCCCCCTCCCCCCGTCTCCTTTCAAGTGACGCCCTATAAAGTTTTTTTCCTATTAAAAAGAGAAAAGCACTTGTGGCTGGGGGCGAAGGCCGCACAGCCTTTCCAAAGGCTGCACATACACCTCGCAGAGGTCCCGGAGAGCGGGCAGGCCCGGCTGCCGCCCTCCGTGACACCAGGGACAGGGCGGCTCCCCTCCACAGCCGCCGCGACCCCCGCCCGTGGAAGACAGCGGCCGCACCACAAGCTGCCCCCTGAGGAGTTAGAGCTCGGCCTCGGGCCCCTCTCTCACTAGTTCAGCCCTCGGCGTCGTTTCCGCGCTTGTCCTGAAATCCTGCTGCTGGTGGGTGCTAGACTACGGTCCAGCAGAGAGAGGTTGAAGAAGGCGCTGAAGACGCGCTGAGGCGCTCCAAGGGAGGCCGCTTCCCGCCGCAGTTTAGAAAGGAAAAAGGCTTCCCTTCTCAAAGCCGGAGTCCTGTCCCGCAGACCTGGAGCTTGCAGCGGGGCAGGTCAGTTCCAAAACCGCCCGCCCCTTCGGGCATGTGAGCCGCCCTGCGCCCTCCACCTCCCGCTTACCCCGAGGCAGGGGAAGCCTTCCGGCAGGCCTTGCTAGGCCGGGATATCCCCATTCGAGACCCGAGGGCCGGGAAAGGCGGCGGCGGGGGTCGGGGGTTGACGCCCTCCCGGAGCCTCATTCGGAGCGGCACCAGCCGCATCTGCCGCAGAGGGCATGGCTGGTGGGTCAAACCGTGGGAACGCCTCACAGGCGGACGGGCAGCAGCAGTACAGGGACAAACAACGATTAAAACTTCTGAGGCTTTAGCTCCACCCAGAAGGGAGAGGAGGGCGAAAAAAAAATCCAACCCCGGAGAAGAACAAAACGACATGAAGACATTTCCCTCTGGACACCGGCTCTGCGGCCCCCGGGATGATGCAGACCCGGCGGGTTGCCGGGGACTGAGCCCGTGATGCTCGGGTGCTTTTTTCGGAGCCCTTGTGCGCAAGTGAAACGGAAACTTGGAAAGAGGCGCCAAGATACGTGCCAGGAAAAACCAACAACAAAACCGCCGCAAGTGCCAAAGCGAGATGCGGACTCAGGTGCGGGCAGCGCGGCCCCAGGCGTGGAGGCGGCCGCAGGGCTGAGTGGGGCCCCGCAGCAGGGACAGACCCTGCGCGGGAGCGGGCGGGTGCCTTGCTCCCGGAGGGCTCTGGAAAAGCCTGACATTACACATCTCGGTGTGAAATTAAGCCAGCCCGCATCCTAAAGCTTCCCCCTTTGACATGTATGAGCAGCCGGTAGAAGGGTAATAAAAATCAGGTTTACTTACGTGTCATAATTGTCTCGGAATCCTTTTGCGAAAGGGTTGTGATCTATTTTCAGCTGTGTGATCTAGAGAAAGAGAGGAACAGAACTGACGTTGTGAAAGCCTGAAAAATATACCCCACTGCAGCCAACACGTTTTTAAAGGACTAAGGTTTACTCTAATCAATCAAATTGCTTTTAAACCGTGAAAAATAAAGATCTGGCGTGCTTATAGACATCACAGTCTAATTTTAAGATTTGCCTTATTGTAAAAAGTACGATAAAATTTAGTATTTAACCCCATGTTTTAAGACGTGTCAGAATTCCTACTGCAGGCATATGAAGATATTGAAATCCAGAAATGAGGCAAAACGTACGACAGAACGGTATCTAAGAGTTTGCATTTGCATGGAGAAAAATAATTAAGGCGCGAATGTGGACTGAACATATGTCATTTGAAAAGGGGGCACCAGTCTGTAGCAAAGACAGACCACTCCGAAACACATCCAAGGCATTAACGAGCTTTTAATTTGAGGAAGTTTCTCTGTCACCCCCGGCGCAATCAATGAGGATGTTAATTGATCCTTGCAGACTTAAAGCTTAAGCTAACAGCTTAACAGCTAACTGAGCTGTTTCCGACTGGGAGATAAACGCGAAGCAGCGCCCAGCCCCGGGCGGAGGGGCAGGATCGCGCCCGGCCTGGAGGGGAGGGCGATGCCGCTGCGGGAGGGGGCTCCCGGGTTGAAGACGGCACGAGCGGCTATGGCCGTGCTTGGAACTGGTCAGGGCGGAATGGCACAAAGGGAGAGACAGGGAGGCTCATCTCGCGGCGCCGGAGACCCGGGGGAGAGCGCGCAGCCTCCGGGCCGGCTCTGGCGGGGTGTCCTGCGGGGAGCGCGGCGACCGCGAGCGGAATAAACCAGGGAGCTCTTTACATCGGTGTTTTGGTAGGCGGTGACTGCTATGAACTGAGTCTCAGGGAAGGTGAAGGTCTGCACTCTGCCCGGCTGGTTGGTATCCTCTGTCCCATCTTCGTTCACCTCCACCACATGCAAGCGGGGCTGGTACTTGTGGAGGGACTGCAAAACCACCATCTGTCAGGCATGGCAAAAGGAGGGAGGGGGCCGCGGGAAAAAAAAAAAAAAAAAAAGGGAAGAAGAAATTAGAGAGAGAACGACGAGGAGAACGATGTCCGCTGGCCGCCGCCTCCCTGGGACTGCTGCGGGCTCCTCCGGCCGCACCGGGCAGCGGTGCCACCTTGGGCAACGCGCTCGGGGGCGTCGAGGCCCATGGCAAAAAGACGGGAGGACTTTCTCACCACCCCCCCCTTTTATTTTCACCTAACGACACAATCTAAAAAAATACACGTCCTTTCCGAAACGGCAGGATTTTGCCTGAAGCAATAAAAATAATTCCTATAGCAGAGCGTCTGCGTTCCCCCACTGACCTGTCCGTTGTTGTTTGATGCTCCTTTATTGTTTGTAAGTTTTAGTTTCCCAAAGGAGATTTCCTGGCGCATCCAGTGGGCTCCCGTGTTGGGGGAGTCGGGGTGCATGTAAACCCGGTTTCCTAAGCAAAACAGCCAAAAACACAACCACATCACAGTTCTCGCGTATACCTCGGGTTCTGCCCCGAAGCAGCACACGAGGGCGAAGGACCCCGGTAGGTTACCAATATTTTGCTGCCAAAACTGACTCCATTTTAACAGAAAAGGATTAAAACAGCTCTTTCCGAACACATTTTACTTTCTCCTCCACCCTCCGTATAAAAAAAAAAAAAAAAGAAAAACAAAAAAGAAAAAGGCATCGTTGGCTCATTCGCGTTTAAGAATTCGCCAGAGCCAGTTCACGAAGGCATTAATTAATCATTCTCACCTACTATGTGTCGGAAAAAGTGTTAATTGGAGAAACTTGCCTTGTACATTGGTGTCCGCCTTGCCGCAAGGAACCCATTTGCCTCCCTGAAATCTCCAGTGGTTGGGATCCGCCAAAATTACATCCACAAAAATATTGTAGTGAGCCGTGGGGTCGAGACCAGAAATATTAAAGCTTAGGAAAGGGAACATGCGCCTATAAGAAAAAAAAAAGGAAAAGAAAAAGGAAAAGAAAAACGAAAGGGAAGAAGGAAAGCAAACCAGCGACAGGCACACGCGAAGGAACCAGCCGTTGTGCTTTATCCTCACGACTGCCGGTATTGACCGGAAAATAAAAATCAAAAGAAATCCCCTCCCCGGAGAGTCGAGCTTTCCGCGGGGAAGGGATGAGGGTAGCGGGCGCGGGAACTTGGAGGGAGGCAAGGAAGGGTGCCCCGGTGGGGACCGGCACCGACGCTCCCGACGACCAGGGCAGGGACCCCGGTGACGGGCGGACGGCTCCGCCGGAGCGGCGGAGGCTCCGGGCGGCTCCCGCTGCGGAGCCCGCGGCTCAGCCCCGACACCCAGCGAAGGTCCGCGCGGTGGCTTACCTTCCCTGCTTCGTGATGATCATCTCCGTCTGGTGCCGGTGAAATTTCAGCCAGAGTGGCCTGTTGCACAGGTAGACCTGAGCCTTGCCAGGAACCAGCCCCGGCTGGGTGGAGGAGAACTGGTAGAAAGGTGCCCCTTGGTAGGAATGACCATACTGCTGGGGGTACGGGTAGCCCGCCGTGGGGTAGCCTTGCGGAGAAGAGTTGGACAGGAGGCTGTTATAAGCTCCGTTGGTGATCACAGGATGGTGAGCCATGTAGCGGCTGGGGCTGGCGATGGAGAAGGCTGGGTGAGCAGGTCCATGCTGGCTGGGATAAGGGAACATGGTACTAGGAGCAGAGGCAGCAGACTGGGGCTGGCTGGACTGAGAGAGCAGATAGCGATCTGCAGCAGATCCATCGAAACTGTGACGAAGCTCAGAGACCCCGTCCAAGACGGGAGAGAGTTTATTTCTCTGGACGTCCCCTGGTGTGTCCTTGGAGTCAGGAAAATTGTCTGTATCTGACTGATTCGTCATCCCCCTGGTAATTTTTTTCAAAGGTGAACTTCTCTCCAGGTTGTCAGTGGTCGAGATAATGGGATGATCATGCAAGGCAAGCTCAGATCCGCCTGCATGTGGGTAACTGCTGCTCACATTGAGAAATTTCTTGGAGAGCATGATAGAGGGAGAAAGACAATGCTCCAGCTGCATAGCTCTAGCACCACAGTAATAACCCTTCAGTCCCTGGATCTGAAAGGGCTCCTTAGTATCAGAAGCTAGACATCCTGGGACCCTCACTAGGCAGAAAGCACTTCATCCACCAAATGCTTCCCAAACGTTTGATTTACTTTTTTTTTTTTTTTTTTTTTTTTTTTTTTTTTTTTTTTTTTTTTTTTCCTTCCTCCCTTCCCAGGGAGAAGAGATTGGCCAAT